TGTGTGTGTATGTGTGTGTGTGTATGTGTGTGTGTGTATGTGTGTGTGTGTATGTGTGTGTGTGTGTGTGCGTGTGCGAAAACGTAAAAAGCATGTGCACAGCTCAACTACTCTTGAATAAATGATGACCAAACGAAGATAGAGATCGTAAAATCATTACAATCGGGGAAATGGACATATTTCCAACTATTTAAATACAAAAATTTAACTTCGAAATCCAAAAAAAGTTTAGGAATATGCAAATTCGACTTTAAAGAAACACAAAGACTTGAACTCCGAGCAATTAATAAATAATTTAATAATTGATTTACCAAATTTCTCTTCCATCTTGCTGTGCAACTACGCTTTTAAAATTGTAGACGTCTCACTCACCTGTCATACGATTGATTTATTATTTATTTTTTGAGGAGAACTGTTTTCACAATGAATAATACTGAACGGAATGCCGCAAGCCACGTCCGTCACGTAAGTCTAACATAAAAGCTTCATTACCTCAGTTACACGTTTCCACTGTTCCCGTCACTTATGTTGCGTATGATTGTTCATTCCTCCAGACATTTTTACCATTTCTAATAGAAATGAATAGCTACAGCTCTTTCCCAGTGAAATATCTATATAGTTCATTTTTGAAGAATACAGAATAATGACGGATGGCTTACCTTTTCAGAATCAGATCTAATTAATTCCTGATTTTGAAATCATCAAATCAATGTTCAGACTGTATTCCAATGAATAAACTCAAACTGGACAAGGCTGAGCAATCCATTGATCGGAAACGAGTCAACTGAAAAAGTTGCAAGAACCGACAAATATTGGAGCATTTTTGACTTAATTCGATTCCCTGAAAGTTACTTTTTCTATATTTATATATCGAAGCAATTAAAAATGAAGCAATGTTATCCATTATTGTTCATTTTTACAGTTTTTCATTTTTTTTTTCTCGACGAAATCTCACATTTTTATAACAAATTTACATTTATTTCAAATATATAAGCTTCATTTTTCTTTAATTATTTCAATTTCCTAAATGACTTAACCAAATTCATTCATTAGTTCATTATTTATTAATTAACTCCACAAACTGATTTTTTGTTCTCGATTTTGCCAACTGTTCTGTTAAATTAGTTAATTAACTTACTGATTGATCTATAATTTTCGTTTCAACGTTTGATTATTCATTCTCACTACTGTTGTTTCTTAGACGAGATAACTGCATGAAATATTCTGATGATATTAGATCATTGTTACCTTAAAAATATGCAAAAATACCCGCCGATCAGAATGTACAGGCAAAACCCCATTGTGCCTATAATTCATTAACAATTTTTGACTAATGATCTGACTGGCAATGGCAAGATTCATTCTAGTTACTGGTAAGTTCCTCATATTTCTATACGAACTTTGTAATTTTCTATATCAGTTAAAATTAATATTTTGAGAAGGATTGTTACAATTTTCAAAGGCAGAAATATCATTTTTCAACGTCAACAAGTCATAATTGCTGTAAATAACATAGAGGTCAATCATTACGTTTGTGGGATGAAAGAACAAGGTAAGACATACATTTATAATTAGCTGAACAAATTTTAGTTTTATGGCTTATTTGTGCATTATATCTTGGAATAGCTGTGGATCTTCCGAAACCGTTTGTTAGTACGTCATTAACGTGTTATACGTATCAAAAGAAAAATGGACGAACAATAAAACGTCTAATGGATGATTGTATGTTTGGCAATGCGTGTTGTTACAGTGCTGAATTCACTGGTAAGTATATTTAATTTTTATTGATTAAGGATACGACAAAATTAATGAAATAGTAATGATGATTGTACTAATAATCGCGACCACATATATTTAAGAGTAATCACTCTCAAAATACATTTAATGGGAATAAGACTAAAAGGTCGCCTTATCAACATATTTCAATCACAGACACCTTTTGTTCTATCTGTAGATGTTTACACTT